CCCGGGCCACGGCTCCGATCTAAAGATTTTGACTTTATGACAAATCTTTTTATTTTCGAGGTCTTCGATATTTCGGTTACTGACCCAGTGAAACCTCACAAAGAGGCAAATATAGAAGCGAATAACTTGCAAAAAACCATCAAAAATCTTGGTCTAGCGGTGAGCTCATAATTATCAACGTTTAACTTGAATCCTAACTAAAAAGGTTAATTGCGATCATTAAAACCAATTAAAAAAATAAATTCCAAAACTTGCAGCATTAGCGATTTTTTTTTAAAGAAAAAGCGCAGAAAAAGATTGCGTCTTTTAAAAAGTCTGAAGGGCTAAAAACGATGCGGAAAAATTAGGACTCCCCGATAAAGATAATTTAATGTAGAAAATGTCCGCAATATCGAATCCTAGTAAAAATTCTAAATCACCTGGGTGCCATCGATCTTAGCCATCGAAGCTCCTCGTCGTAGAGGTTGAAGATTTCGCAGGAGTCTGATCGGGGGAAGAGGGCCATCTCGTACCTAGAAACAAATACAATACAAAGATAGACAGACCGCCAGAAAGGACATAAAGAAGACAGAGCGCGTTTAATAATAAAAAGGAGAAAATGAGGCGAACGGAGCGAAGCGCAGTTCTGCCGTCGCTCCTGTTTTCCGGTGTTAGCTATAAAAAATTCGAGAATAGGCTCTCAAATGCAAACCTTTTTCAAGTAACGATGAGAATTTCGATGATCCCCAGACGTAAATTGAAACCAAAAGCGGTGTAATCAGAGCGCAGCCTAAAATAGCAGCCAGGCTCCAAGCAAAATTCCGGGCCGGGCAGGGTGAACTGCTCGAAAGTGTCGGAGGAAGCGCTGGAAATGCTGTGCGGAAGGTTTCATACAAAATCGATAGGAAGCTCGCAGCAGCCACGATAGCCCTACTGGAGCTGGACAAAGTTCGCGGAACCAGTTTTTTGAAGTTTAAAAGTTAGCCTCTGGCTTCTGCAATACGGTAGAAGGAGGCGCCAAATAGGTAAAGAAAACAAGAAAACGAAATTTATCGCGCAGAAGTCTTGTGGAAACAGATCCTCAATGTAGAAGCCAGCCAAGCTAGCTAAACAGGTGAAGCCTGAAACGCCGTCAGATTAGGTCCACCAAAATGCGCCGTACGGAAAACTTCGGAGAAACTAGTGTAAAGGCAAGTACGCACTTAACAGGCCTGGTCTGATAAGAGCGTAATGTAGCTGTAAGGTACGGATGGTTAACGTATTGTGCCGTACCGAATAAATAGCGCGGCAAAAGGCGTAAGACAGTACGGTAAATAAGAAAAAATAAAAAAAGCATCAAAAAAAATAATCGGTTAATAAGGAATGACTAAAGTACGTTAATTATGACCAAATCTAGAAAAACCAACCAAAGGAAATGGGGTGATAAGGGTCAGCAAAGCATGGTAATTACGGGCATCATTAAGGAAAGGATAAGGAAGTAATCGAGGGAATAAGAAGGTAAAGTGGCGTTACTAAGTGGCTGGCTGGGGCAGACTGTAGCTGCTCTTAGGCGGAGGGGTGGGCGCCGTGGACAAAGGAGCCAAGCTAGCCAAGCAGGTGAAGCCCTGAAACGCTGTCAGATTGGGTCCACCAAAACGCGCCGTACGGAAAACTTCCGGAGAAACTAAAAGGCAAGTACGTTAATTTAACAGCCTGGTTCGATAAGAGCGTAATGTAGCTGTAAGGTACGGATGGCACGTATTGTGCCGTACCGAATAAATAGCGCGGCAAAAAGGGGTGTAGACAGTACGGTAAATATGAAAAAAAATGTAAAAGCATCTAAAAATAATAACCGGCTAATAAGGAAATGACTAAAGTACGTTAATTATGACCAAATCTAGAAAACCAAATTCCAAAGGAAATGGGGTGATAAGGTCAGTAAAGTACGGTAATTACGGCATCATTTAGGAAAGGATAAGGAAGTAATCGAGGTAATAAGAAGGTAAAGTGGCGTTACTTGGCGGCTGGCTGGGGCAGACTGTAGCTGCTCTAGGGCGGAGGGTGGGCGCTGTGACAAAGGAAGGGCCAAAAGAGCCACAAGGCTTTTCCCCCTCCTGGCCTCCGTTACGGGTGGGTGTAGTTGGATGGGGGGGAAAGGAGGCTGAGCAGGAGGCTGAGCAGGAGAGCCCCTCACCCCCATCGAGCAGAGGGCGTGTTACACTCAACACTGAGCACCAACCCCCGGGCCCGGCCTCCACGAACGAGAGATGGAGAGAGGGGCAGAGATGCAGAGATACAGTATGGGAGAGAACAGAGGGAAAAGCTTGGTGGGGCCTTGAGAAAAGTCCATGCTAAAAAGTGACAGCCGGATCAGGAGCAGGGGCCCAGCCACAAGCCAACGCCCAGGGGAAATACTTCTTGGAAACAGAGCCCAGGGGGCCCTTCCAGGCTCAAAAATCGATATTGATCGGTGGTGGTTGGTGGGGAGCATTAGCGGAATGAGCAAGCTTGGTGGTAATTCATCGATTAAAGAACACGGGCAGAAATGGGTAGGAGAGACCAGAGAAAAATCGCTACAAAGCGGGGCGCCAGATACAGAGGTTCCTACTCACTCGCTGCAAAATCTCTCTTGCTCGTGTAGCTCCGAAAAGCTCTCTTTGCTTAGAGGCTCCAGAAAATGGATTATCTCCCAAAAAATCGGACCCTCCCTCAAAAAGTTGGCACCTTAGCGAGTGATCCGCAACGGTAATCAAGCAGAAGAAAAGCAAATTCTAAACAGCAATCCCTAGTAAAAAAAAGGCAATTATATTTGGAAAATGGCGGCGCTTTACAGTTTTCTATTTAGCACTTCGGTTTTCGGAAATAACCGCAAAAATAAGCTCGTCGAGAGCGTCAAAAACCTGGCCAAAAGTGAGCTAAAAACTACAGATTTTTGCAGTTTATTAAGACGGAAAAGTTAAACGTAGTCTTAGAATTCGAGGTGGAAGCCGGAAGCGCAGTCAAGGCAAGCCGATATCGAAATACAATGTGTAATTTTGCCAAGAAAGAAGAAAAGGAATAGACCGGGCAAATTTAAACTTTAACTGATTTTTTATAGGATTTTTATCCGAAATAGGCGCAAATGCTGTTAAAAGGGGTTCGAATTCCATTATAGAGCGCCGATATTTAGGATTTATTTTAATGGCATATTTTTTTTTTAATTTGTTTTAGAATTGGGGCCCCAATTTTTACGCCCTAAGAGAATATAGGTTAGCCTCCCTCCCCGCTAACACGCCAGTAGCTAGAAGCTGAAGCAATAGCTAGAAGAGACCGTTTCCTAACATCTACTTTTCGACTTTTGCGGCCGGTGAAGGCCGGAAAAAGCCAAAAGCGTAAGCCCCCTAAGCAACATCCAAATAGCTAGAAGACGCTTCCCTCGACAAATTTCGGGATCTTCAACAAGTTCAACATATCTAGCCCCGAAATTTTCGGCGTTGGCGGCTAGCCAACGCGGCCTTGTTGGACATCTGGGGTTTTATTAGGGAGACGTACCGTACGCGAGAGACGACGACGACTCAAACAGTGGCCAGCCATGATGCCCCAAAGGCAAATCGTGGCTGTGAGACTCGGTCTTGCTCCATCCTTCCCTCATGATCCCTCACAATCCTTCCCTCTCCTGCTGAGTTGAGGGGAGAAGCATCTCATGGAAGGGCCCAGGCGAGGAGGGCTGTTACAATCTGCCACCCCATATCCTCCCTTTTCGCCCTCTAGCACACACACATACACCTTGAGAACCCGGCAAAAAAGAGCCTGGAATCTCCCCCTGGCCCGGGACTGGCCGGCTTTTTCCTTGAGCTCGAGCTGAGATTGGAAATCGACTGGCTGGTGCCGGACTGTTAGCGGGAAGATTTTTCTTCAGTTATCCCGCACCGCCCATTGACCCAAATACCATTAAAAGCACATAAAATTTTAAAACCCATCGAAAATTGGCGTCTTGGTCAAAAAACATGTGAAAAATGACTGTAAAAGCTCAAAATTTCAAAAGTATTTTTGATAATTGTATAGCAAAAAAAGGTGAAAACCAAAAATAAGCTTCCGACGCCGCTAAGCGCAGAATCCCGAGACCCACTTGCGACCGTTTCAGCGTATTTTTTGTTTTCTTGATGCTTTAAATGTTAAAAAGTTCTATAAATATCTTAGATAAAGTAAAGCCAAATAAATCTGCGTATTTATTGATAAATTTTGAAAGAGGGCGATAGTGCAAAGTGCCGCCTGGAATTTTGCGTGACCAATCGCAAACTTCTGACCTGGAAAAATAATTCGAAAACCTGGCTGTTTCGACGTAGCTCAACGCGTTGCGTGTTCGGGCGACGCATATCCTATAGAGGATCCATGACGGCGTCTTCCTTATCCCTTTAAAGTTGTAGTTCTCCATCTCATTCCTCTCCACAATTCCACCGTATCCCCCCTGTAAAGTGGTTCAATTCGTCAATGTGTTCCCCCCCCCTGTGCTGCCAAAGTTCCCCCAGACAATTAATGGACACCACCGAGCCCCAACCTAGAGGGGGGGGCCCTACTCCAAACGATTTTTTGAAGCATAGGAAACTGGAGATCATTCGCGTTATCGGTAATTTTTTCCTAAAGCAAAAAATGAAGCGTTTCATAGTCTTTTTATTAAAAGAACGATGTCTATCTCAAAACCTTCGAACAGTTGTCACAAAATTGGAAATTTTATTCAAAAATCTATAGTTTCTACAATCAAATCTACACGGGAGATCCTATGGAAAAATATAAATATCCCGCCACAATACACGTGTATTTTATTCGATTGTGACAACCGGCTGGTTTCACTAATAAGCTGTCAGCAAATTTATCAACATTGATCAGCCAAATGCGTGCCGAACGGTCATCAACGAAACGGTGATAAATATGAGAAGATACAATCCAACCGGGGGCATGACAACGAAAGACACTTCAACACTGATAAAACGAATGTGGATGGGAGGAGGACCCGAATTTTGCACTTCATCCGGGCGTTAGGAGGCTTCTTGCCGGTGGCTTCAGAGGATCGACGGGCCGCCGCGGTCGCTGAAAAGTTGAGATTCCACGCGAAACTTTCCGGAAAATAAAGAATAAAGCCCCCGTGAATAAAAAAAATAGTTCTTTCGTATTATCGGAGGAACCTAAATTTTTCCTACATCCGGGTATGGCTCGTAAGATTTTAATAGCGTTTGTAACAAAAGGGAACTATATTTAAAGTGGTGGAAAACTTTATAAAACTTCAAAAATGTTTAGAATTTTGAAATATCGGTCAAAAATTGTCAATTCGTAACCGGAAAATCTAATCTTTTTCCGTTTTTATCTTCATTGCCGTCTAGCAACACATCTCTTATTTATATCAAGACAATCGAAACGAAAAACTTTTTATCCTCCAAACTACTAAAAAGACAACTCTATTTTTAAGTGCAACAACTTCCCGTACCACATGGCCATATCGATGATGGAGATTCCGAGACGGTAGCACCGCTTGCCCAGCTCACCGCCGTCCACCCAGGGCTGAGCCCCGATCCGCCGCCGCAGTCGCATCATCGTCAGCCCAATCATCGACCGGGCCGAGCTGTAAACACAAAAGACAAGTTGCGGAAGCGCGCAAATTCCGCGTACCTCTGCAATGGTGACAACTGCTCCTCATTGTCGAGACGGGCATCGATCGAGTCGCAGAGTTGTTCCACCTAAAAACGAACAGACATGATGATGGCTGTGAACAGGCTCACCTCGGGGGTTCGGGCGGCGCCGTGGGAGGAGATCAGCTCGTACAGACGGCAGTATTCAGAGTACAACGACGTGACGGGGATGTGAGCCTGAAAAGAGTTGGGCAATGCAAAAGTTATAGGACATCACGCAATCCTCGTCATTATGGGTGCCATAGTGAATTATATTTTTTGGATATAACCCTAAAAAGTTACCAATCTTTGAGTATTTTGGTCGAAATGTATGAAAAGCGGGCAAAACCCAAAAAAAATGATCTTTTAAAACGATTTTAGGTTTTTATTATCCTAAATGATTAGAAAACCACTTTTTTGGAAAAAGTTGCATAGCGTGAAAAAGCGAAGCTGGCGACAACCCCCGATAAAGGCAAAGAATCGAAAATCCGCCCAAAGAACAAACCTTTTGCGGTGTCTTGTTCGAGAGCAGCAGACTGGTGAACCGTCGAAGGGCGTTGTAGTCATCTGGAAAACCGTCATCATCAAAATCAGCCAAATACCCAATTCAATGGCCATCGGCGCCAACTTTTCGGTGTAAACGTGCTCGGCGTCGATCCACTCCTCGGCGTGCACCAGATGCTCGAAATACGAGGCTGATCGGCCCTTCTGCTGAAAGGGTTTTGATTTCTCTAAAACATAAAGATGAGAGAAAAGTAATTAGAAGGTCCGAGCTCAAACTTAGCAAAAATGTAGGTTCAACCCCGTTCAAAGGTACTAATATTACCGATTTTTTAGAATTTGCTAGCGACGGCTAAACTCGAGATATATACGCTAGAGAAAATCCGGCAAAATGTCGTGTTTTCTACGTCGAGTGTACATTTTCTCTGATTCATTACGCCCGTAGCAAAACTTAAAAAATACACAACTAGCGTCATCACCTCTATCTATGCACCAATTCTGATTCCCGGATTGAATCCTATGGATGTAACTCTTCTTGAAAAAGTACCTTAGCCTGGAGGGCAAGTGCCGAGTGAATCCATGTGGATGGGATATTCACGTATCGACACAGCCTGCCCACGATTCGCTCGTTCAGCCTCATTGCGTTGCGCTCGAGCAGAGAACGGACGGCGGATTCACGGCTAGAAACAGCGCTACATCTCCATAAAAAAACCGTACCTAGCCGAATCAGTTATGTGGCAGAGGACGAAAACGGCCAGATGAAGGGCTCCATAGCTGGCGAGTTGCTCGGCGTAATCCACCGTCAGCTCGTCTTCATAGGAGCGCTTCATTCGCCAATCACCGGATGTTCGAACGACCGTCCAGAGGTGCCAGCTGGAAAAGTCAAGATGTTACCGATCAATTACAGGAAAAATTAGGACAAACTTTGTAAAGTCCAGGTGCGGGCAACGTAAAAGTGTGTATTTTCATAGTGTTTTGATCGAAATGTAGCTATATTTCACAGAAAAATTATCTTTAAAAAAGGTCGAAAAACTCTTTGGACATTTTTGGTCGCTAGTTTTCCTTTTCTTGTTATTTTCTATGATTTTCAATCAAAATTTCCTCCATTTACGAGCAAAAAGTGGCTCCTAAGGGGAAAAGTTGACTGCGCTGCGGCCGAAAAAAACGAAGCACTAACCCAAGATAATAATTCGACACTCTGCGGCTGGGAATTGTTGCCCGTACGGTGACGTCAAGGGCGCGATTTTGTTCATGGCAACCGAACCGGATCAATTCCCAGGCGACCTCTTTGCTGGGCAACGTGAAATGCCCGTCCTCGCTGTCTTTCTAAAAGCAGAAAATTGAACGACCACAATTTACACACCAATAGCCGCTGGACCGACTCGGAGATGGGCTCCAGTTCAGCGCCAAGGTAACGCACTTGGAGTCCGAGGGCCTGAAAACTTGTTTAAATCCTAAATCTGCCGATGCCTGAAGCCAGTTAAGGCCGTCGTAGATGTTGACACTGTGGGACGCGCCGCGGGCGTTTTTCCATGTCAGAACGCGCATCCCGGCAATGACCATATACACTTTGAGCTCGTTCTCTTCGATGAGCTCCAACTGTTGTCTTTCACGCCAATGAGCGATCTAAAGATAGGATTTCTTACATTTCATCTGATTCCCAAAAAAATTGGATCGAGTTCCCAAAAGGAGACGGCTACCGGAGATCAAAATAGTGGCTCAATCCTTCATGGGTTGAATTTCGAAGCAACAACTTAATATGAACTAACCAACTTAATGACTTTGCAAAAAACTTGTTTTCGAAAACATGCTTGAAAACTGCTTTCAAGAATACAATTAGAAAAATGTCAGTCAATATTTCCCCGAACCGGGACCCAATTTACCTGCTTCTGGGCCTTCTTGCGCACCACGATGTCGTTGCTCAACTGCAGGAACAGTACGACGGTAAATCGTGAGAATTCTGGTGATTCGACCAGCTAAAACAAAATTCAATAAAGCATAGTTGCAACCGACCATGTCGACTTTTCCTTGCGTTACGTAGTCCCAGAGCGTCACCGGTTGTTCAAATTCCAGCATTTTACACAGCCACAAATCCAGCTGGTACGAACGCTCACGATCCCAGTCATCTGGAAAGGAAGTCGAAATTTGTGCCTTCAGATATGTCTAATCTAGTTGATCGTCGTTTTCATACGTGATCGACGCTTGAAAAGCGTTACCTTAACTACACCAAGAAGCCTTAAAAAGCGCTCACATAGTGATTGGTCCATGTCGTTTGGCTTGAAGAGCAGCTCGGCCAGATTCCAAAGCCCCACCTCGGCAGCTCGGTCGTCTAAAATTCGCGCATCTTAAAAAGTCACTCCAGGGGAACTTACATCTGGCGTGCACGGTGATATAATCTTGGCAAAGCGCCGCAAAATTGTCTCCAGCCTTTACAAGTGGCGCCTGCTTTTCGTCGCCAGATTCAGTCAATGCATTCTTGGCCGTAACCTCGAAGACGTCTTCCAGGAAATCCTAAATGACAATAAAAAAATTAAGGATAGCAAACCACAGGAAGTTGCTCAAATTCGTTGGCTGCCACCATAATCGCGTCAACTTCGGGCCCGTCAGCCAGCACCATCTTGCCAGATTCTCCTAGGATAGTTTATTATCGACAGTTCCCGTGTATCAGACCTCGATGAACAAAGGCCATCCCGCGCTGCGCCACAATATCCACCGGACCGCCATGTGGAGGACGAATTGTCTCTCCCCGGCGACAACCAACGCAGCTCGGTGTCAGGCAACTTCTTCACTGGTTCACGCTCAACTTTCGCAGACCGTCGGCGTGGCTCCAATTCACTGAAACTTAAAAATTCGCAATTAGCGACTGACGTACGGCTGCCAAGGTAACTTTGGACCTTCAAATCTTATCTCACATAAAAACGTGATAGGCGCCCTTATGTGTGGAAATTAGAGACAAAAAACTGACCCAAACGAGTCCACCAAATCAATGCTGCCCTCCACACAGCGCTTCTTAGAGGCAGAAACGTCATCCGTGTCCATGGCTCTAAACCGATCCTTCGAATCAAAAATAAACGCTCACAATTCGTGCTGAGATCTGTAGGACAGGTCGTTCTGGGAGCGTTCAGAGAGCACGGATCGACTAAAAACATTCAATGGAACGCGTAGATGCCCTACTCAAAGTGCGGCATCGTATTCTCGCGAAACAACGGCTCGTCCATGTTGAACGAGAGGGCCAACTTGGCGGGTTGGTTGATGAATGTCATATTCGTCTTCATGTTTGGCGTGCGCTAAAACGGTTGGTGGTCCTTTAATTTTCGTGGAAAGGGGGGAACGATGTCCGGTGGAAATCCGAATATTTTCCTTAGTAACTAATTTTTCTAACATAACTGGATGAAGTGTTTCAAAACTATTCCCAAGCGTAAAACTTTGCAAAAATCTGTAAAACTACCAAAATTTTGGTCTTTGGATGAAAAATTCAAATTACGGTTGAGCGTTTCTTTTTGAACATTTTCTCTTCCAAACTGCTAATAAGACCAGTAAATTACTTTGGAACGTTCGGATCCTCCACCAGCAATACTAAAGGATCCCACTGGTGTTGCCGATAAAAAAACGTACAACAGCATTGTAGCGCGGTGTGTTGAAGGCCAGATTTCTGATGTGTGGCGGCGTTTGCGGGATCTGGAAGCGAATATTTATGACGGTGAACAGGATACCTCTTGACAGGACGGATCGAGTAGCATGCCTTGCATCTTGGCCTTTTGCACCTGTAAATGCAGCTCATACTCGCTGAGAGAGCTGTTGGCATCGGCAGCAGGGAGCTCAACCTCACCATCTTCGTCATCCTGCAAATAAATGCATAAGCAGCGATCGTCCGCGATCGATAAGCGAAAAACAAAACATAGCCGAGCTATCGGACTTAGACTGAGAATAAAAGAAATACATTTTTTTCATAATAGGATAAAATCATTTCATAGCAGGATAAGAAATACGTCAGCAAACCCACATTCAGTCCATATTTGGAAAAATGTTCAACCTCGAAGCGGAGCAAACCATCGGCGCTGTCATATGATTGGAATACGGCATCTAGCCGTCCGAGACGCTGCTTGAGATCATAGGTCCAGGCTTCGAGACTACTCTAAAAAAGCGAATGCCTGAATTTCCAAAAGCACCTCGTCGTTATTGTCCGCAGGTGGCCATATATTTTTGAGGACAATCTGAGCATGCTGATTCAGCTCAGTGCCAACGGCAGGCTCATGACCATTTGAGTAAACTTCCACTTCTCGATGGCCGAATCGAATAATCTAATAAGAGGTTCCATTTTATCGAACATACGTCCCACCTTATCCAATGGCAAATCTTTTCGTAGCCGGAGAGGCCCGGGCCAGAATATGGTCCCGTGAATGTTGTCGACCCGAAGTCCTTCTGCATGGAGCTCGAGCTCATCATCCATTGAACTGTAAAACAGAAGTTGAACGCCGGGTTGCCGGTTCGCGCTTGAAAGAAAAATTTGCTATCCTAACGGCAAAAGCTTCAGTTTGCAAAATATCACAAGAACTGAAGTATTATACCGTCAGCGCGGATATTCCATCTCAATGTTCATGAAAAGGCGCCTTTCAAAACTAAGCGAATAGAGGCTCGTAAGTGTCGCGTGTATAGCAGCGCGCTGTTTGTCTGAGTTCCCTCTGACCGCCAAAAGCTAGCCGGAAGCACTCGCCGCCTACATCGGAATTAGAAAAAAGCAGCTATTCGCGAAAATGCACCAGTCTCAAGATACAGTTTTAGCCGAAACCCCTGCGCATGGCGACAGCCAACATTAACAAAACAGTAAATTTATTGAACAAAAAGGGGGGCAAACGGGGCGGGCGAACATGAATTCATGCATCAGTCATGATCATAGCAATTCATCATAAGCAATGTGGAAAATGGTTATGTAGTGGCCTAATAATCCGGGTAGTCTCCGCACGGGAAGCCCATTTTACTTTCATTGTCATTGAAGTACTTGAGGTTCTCAACGAGCTGCTCAGTGGGAGTTCCTTCATCTAGGTCGGCCGGACCGCGAACGTCGATTTGCGCATGTCCCGGCTGTTCGTTCACTTGTTGAAAAATCTAACAAAAAGAGATAAAGCTTTCGGGATAATAGGAACCTCTGGTTGATCGACAGACTGGGCTGAAGCCAGCGGACGAGTCGGAGACGCATAAGATTGCGAGGTAAGGGCGATCTAAGCAAAAATCGTTAATGCGAAAAAATCTCCTTACCGCCTGGTGCTTGTTGTAGGCGTAGGAAAGGTCCGAGTTCACTGATGACACATTATCTTGGTTAATGTTGTAAGTGCCTTCGTCAACGTCATAATAATCTTGTTGCACCTCCTCATAGCCTTGCAGTGTACGCTGAACTGGGTACATAGCAGAATTGTTGTGCATGGAAGGCGCTGGGTATTCCGCATACATGGCGTCACGGGTAATGGGCGCATTCTAGGAGACTGGTAAAAACCTTAACAAAATTCGAACCTGTGAATTGAGCCCGCCGGACGGCCGCATACACTGAGGTGTAACATTTCCTTGGTTGTATTGTTCGGTCTGCAGTTGTGGAGTTGGATCAAAGCACGTTTGCGAGACGTAAGCACCTCCTGAAAAAAAATTTAATAAGAGATTCGACGGTACCGTAACAAGCCGGAAATTGCGGTGTGGCGGCACCTTGGGCGTAGAGCCCTCGAGCAATCGCTGCCTCAATCCGGGGAAGGTAGTCGTTTATTTGTCGCGACACCTAAAGATACGTGAGTGGAAAAAACAACCAAGATACCTCTTCCACCTTACGGTCAAGGTGGCCTATGTGATGCTCAAGGTGGCCTATGTGACGCTCAAGGCGCCCTATGTGCGCGGCAAACTGATTCCGCATGAAATCTCGCGAAACTGCCGGAGCCGCCGGTTCTTGCAGACGCGGAGCAGCCCTTGGGGTAAACATGTCGGCAGGGCCTGGATCGGTCGCAGCCACTAAATATAACAGCATTTGCTAAGCAACCAAGTACGACGAAACCTTTAGGCGGAAGTCGCGCACGGGTAGGCGACGGAGATGATGTTTTGACTCCCGACATCATTGACTCTGGCGCTAGAAACCATAAATAACGCAAAACCCATCAATGGATTACCAATTGACGTACATCGCCTTGACCTCTTGATTTCTTTGCTGGGGGCTGCCGACATGTCGCGCTTGGGACGGCCGCGCGGCTTGCTGGGGGCTGCCGACATGGCGCGCTTGGGACGGCCGCGCGGCTTGCTAACGGCACTGCCGTTGTTAACTAAATGAATAACATGATAGTCGGGCAAGAGCGAGAAGCAAAACTCGACAAATCAGCAGATAGACCATATCGCCCAGAAAACGAAAAGCTTACCGTTCGTCGTCAAGCTCTTGTTAGACGGCAAGGGGGTTGCAGCTACAGCGGGACTTGGCGTAGATGAGCGCAGCATTCTAGATCGAGACCGCCACGCCGGCTGATCTTTTTCGACGGGCTGCGTGAACGGCGGCTTCTCTTGCGACTTTCGACCCATATTCTGAAACACAGTTGAATAAACGAATGCCGCTATTTCGGGATACTCGACGCATTTTGAAAATGAGAAAAATAACTTCGAAAAGCAACCCGCACAGAAAGCCCTCAGAATCTTGACTTTCTTATAAAAGCTCAATTTGTACGGTTTCTGTGCAGGGTTGCATTTCAAGCATTCGAAATCGTACAATCCAAAAAAATTCTTGTGCAAAAACTCTGATGAAAGGAAAAGTGATCGGCTGACAAAATAACGCGGTCTCGCAGCGTTCACACATTCTACGGTATTTCAGTAGCGAACCGTGTTTTAGGAAACTGTATCAATGATGGTGTTTAGCAATTTTTGAGCTAAAAATCGATTATTGTTGACTTTTTATACAATCTTCAGCAAAAAAAATATAATTGCGTTTAATTCATGTGACGTAAAGAAGCTGGAAAGCCGCCCCGTTGTCCGAATTCCGGTTAGAAAACCGAAATCGTTGATCATGAGGCCCCTGCGGTCCAACTCCGGCCTTCGAAGGCCCGCTCTGCACGGTTGAATCCACCTTTTGCATAAATTTTATCGTTTTTTACTCGTTTAAAGGGTGCTATTACAGCTTGCTAACCCCGGACGGGCGGTGCCAGGTATTCCACATTACGGCATACCAAAAACACAGGCAGGTACTATCGGCCGCGGCGTAATTCATGAAGAAATACTACTTAATAAACGTCTTATAATATTATTTAATGCGTTTTAATATACTATAATAGATTCTACATATTTATCGGACTTAGTTATATAGTTTTTATTTAAATTGTTTGCGATATATACCAAAAGAGTGCTTATGACCACCCGCGGTACCTGCCTGCACGTGTGGTAAGCAGTTTCCACATTTCTCAACAAAAAAAAAATTTGATAGTATTCTGAAGACGGACGCCGGTCCAAATGCCGCGTGTCCTCGCGACCAGAGTACACGGCAAGGGCACAGCTTCCAGCGCGCAATTAGATTTCACAGGTTGGTGAATTAGACGTTGAGGATAACAGTCTTTATTTCAGAAAGACTACTGAAGTTTGGGGACGGCCGCTTTGCCACCGTCGAACTGTGGCAAATCGATGGTCCGGAACGGAGGCTCGTCGCTCTCAAACGAGTCCACGGGTAAGAGAAGATTT